CGCTCAACCTCTGGCTTCCCCACGCGCAGACGCGGCGCCGCTGGTTCGGGCTCGGGCTTCGGGACCCCGGCCTTGTCTCCGAGGCGCTGAGGGCGCTTCCCTGCCGGGGGCCCCGGGTGCGGGCCCCGAGCCCCATTCGCCTGGTCTCTCCCGGGCCGATGGGGCCGTCGGAGGCCACGTGTCCTCTCCTGCCGCGGGCCCCTTGTGAGGCCGAGCCCGCGGGGCCTCCGTGCCTCGGGCCGTCGCGCCTTCTCCGCCCCCACTCGCTCTCCCGCTTCTTGGCCTCAGGCACGTCCCCTCGGGCCACAGTTGGGGGCGGCCCCTGCGTGTACGCCGGCGCCGGGCGCGGGCGGGAGCGCGGGCAAAGCGGGAGCGGTCGTGTAAACGCTTCCAACGTGGGGAAGGGGGGTCGGGCGACAGACGGGGTGGCGGGAGGGTCTGACGTGAGGGGCAGGGCGGAGGGGGCCGCAGAGATGAGGAGCGAGAGAAGGGCAGCCGCTGCGGGAGTGCAGTGAGAGCAGGCCGGAACGGGAAGAGCAGAAGCCTTGGCGGTAAGGAGCCAGGCGTGCTGGAGCGTGGGCCAGCGGCCACTGGGCCTGGGACCCTGCGGCGGCTGGAGAGCGAGCTGGAGTCCAGGCCGGGGCCCTGTGGGCCCGCGCAGGGGTTTGGCTTCTGTTGGGCTCCGGTGGGGCTGCGTGTGCGAAAGAGCTTGAAGGCGCCGGCTGCCGGCAGCGTGCAGGGCTGTCACTGTCTTAGGAGAGGTGGAAGTTAAGGCCCAGACCCGACCAGCTTGCCCAGGCCCCTGGGCCGAGCCGGGGTTTGTACCCAGCAGTGGTGTTCCCGATCACACCCGTGTTGTCCTGGGGTGTGTGGAAACGAATCTACAGAAAGGGGCGCATCCGGTTTTGACGTGGACAGAACGTGACCGGCCGGGCGCAGACGGTCGCCGCAGGCTCGGTGGTCTCGGGTCTGTTGTAACTGGGTCTCTCCTCCGTTTAGGTCCGGAGCTCCTCCCCACAGGCCGTTCAGCAGTGGCGGTGCCTATCCCAACATCCCGCTCTCATCCCCCTTACCCGGGGTGCCTGAGCCTGTTTTTGCTACAGTTGATGGACAGGAAAAGTTTGAAACCAAAGTCACCACGCTGGATAATGGGCTTCGCGTGGCCTCCCAAAACAAATTTGGACAATTTTGTACGGTAGGAAGTAAGTACTGTTGGTGGTGGTGTGGGTCATCCCGTTTGTTTTCATGCCCACGTGCCTCAGTTGATTGTTATGCTTTATACGTCGTCTGTGAGTTGTGTTCTGAGTGGAAAAGTACGGCGTAGACCCTGAAAACAATACACAAAGCATGAACCACCACGTTGGCGGTGGGCTTTTTCCCCTTTCCACCTTCATAGAAATCTAACACTTTTCTACCGTAAATATGAAGCATCAACTCCATCAGTGTCAACGTGGGTGTGCAGCTGTGGGGACGTAGCCCAGGTAGTGGACACATCATCACCCTCACGTAATTAGGTCAGCCTGTCTGATCACGTTCAGTTTTAAAGGTTTCTCTTGATTAAATCCCCCTAAAACCTCCCCTTTTCAACGTTTGGTTTAACCTGTCAATTTTCTTTTTATTGCCAGTTCTTATTAATTCAGGATCAAGATATGAAGCAAAATATCTTAGTGGAATTGCTCACTTTTTGGAAAAATTGGCATTTTCGGTCAGTGTCCTGTTTGTAATCTTTGAGCCTATACTTGAGAAGAATCTATCAAGTTTTAATTTTTTTAGAATGGTTATTTTAATAAGTGACTAACCTGCTAAGATAATCCTACTAGAAGATATTTAGGTTAAAAGATAACTTGATTTTACATGTTTTCGAAGTAAACAAATTTTTTTCTCAAAGAACATTTTAGAGGTTGTTTTGGATTGCGTATTTAGGTTTACTTATTTATCTTTACTAGTCGACGGATCGATTTAACAGCAAAGATGAAATTCTGCTTACGTTGGAAAAGCACGGGGGTATTTGTGACTGCCAGACGTCAAGGTACGCCATCGTATTTTGCATCCACGTGGAACTGTGGTTCTTATCTTTGGTCAGAGTCTCACTGAAACCTACGCCCTGGAGAGGCTTGTGGAGGTTAGGGGTGAGAAGTGAGCCTGGCCTAGGCCGGGTTGGGTGGAGAATTTGGTGGGGGAAATATGCAGGCAGCAGCACTTAGAGAAGAGAACCCGTTGGAGGGCCAGGCAATACCCAGAGACTGCCAGCTGGGCACTAGGGATGCAGCAGGCCCTGTCCCCAATATGCTCGCGGATCTGGCAGAGGGCTGCACCCCAGGTAATGGACACAAGAGCCAGAGACCGAGACTGGTGGGGGACAGGCAACTAACCTGGTCTGGAGTCAGGAAAGGAATGATAACAAAGTCATCATTGGACTGGTCTTGGAGGAGTTTGCCACACCGACTGAGGGAGGAGGTGGCCCAGAACAGCACGGGGAGAGGCTCAGCCAGGAAGAGGCAGTGGTCTTTTTGGGGACAGGGGGAGGTTCAGTATGTAGCCAGCACACAGATGTAGGGGCGCTGTGGATAGGGCAGGTGGTGTTTGTCTGCCACGTGTGGCCTGTCCCCCAGCCGCATAAGGCCGTGCATATTGCATGTTGACTGTGAGTCGGGGCAGCTGATGCTCAGGAAGCCCGTGCTAAAAGGGCCCCCGTGGCAGGGGGCCTGTGCTTATGGAAATGTCTCAGGGTGGCTCTTGTCCATTTTGGCTGCGCAGCTGCTGTCACTCCAGTGCATGCTGGAAGTTGTCCTGTAAGGTGGGACATAGCGAGTGTGTGCTGGTCCTCAGTGCAGCGGGGGGAGTGGCCCCGCTGGCGTGTACCTGTGGTGACCTCAGTGCCTCACGTCGTTGCTTCTTTCAGGGACACCACCATGTACGCTGTGTCTGCTGACTCTAAAGGCCTGGACACGGTGGTTGGGTTGCTCGCTGATGTGGTCCTGCACCCCAGGCTCACAGGTGGGCCCGGGGCCGCATGAGGGGGCTGAGGGCTGGGCCCTTGGGAGGCACGTGGAAGCGCTGCCCCTGAGGAAGAGCGTTGTATGCAGCCCTCGAGGTCAGCTACCAGTGAGTTGGCACGATTTCCTTGGAAATAACGCTGATGGTCAGAAAAGTCCTTCAGTGAGCTCAGTACTTTGACATAACTCTGTGCTTTTTAACGTTCTTAGTTACATTGGGTCTTTCATTTCTCCTTTTTTTTTTTCCTTTAAAATTTAAGTACTCGCTACACCCAACATGGGGCCCAAACTCACAACCCGGAGATCAAGAGTCGCATGCTCCTCTGACAGAGCCAGCCAGGCGGCCCTGGGTCTTTCACTTCTGAAAGGCATTTCAGACTGTCTTTAAACACCAGGCTGGTGTGCCACCAGAAGCTTCCACGTCCCTGTGTCCATCCCCTTCCTTGGCCTGGTGGTGGCAGGACTTTGAATTCCGTGCCCGCAGTGGACCAGAGAGGGCCCTGCTGCCCGTTGCTGCTGCCCTGGCTGCGCCCTGGTCACGTCAGCCTGGCCTTGTAGTCCTTCCAGTACTTACTCCAGGTTGCTGATGAAGTGGCAGCCATGATGCCGGATGGTGCCTCTTTTGTAAGCACCTTCCCATTCCACATGACTATCCTCACAGCAGTCCTCTGGGGAGACGGGTCAGGGGCCTGAGTGCCTCTCCTGGGAAGGAAGCCGGGGCTCGGGGCAGGTCCAGGTGGCTGAGCCGGACAAGAGGCCCAGTGCCTCCAGGCCCTGCCCCCTCGCTCACACAAGTGCCCCCAGGTCTACCCCAGATGAAGGCCGAGGAGACTGCCAGTGTCTGCAAGCCGATGACCCTTGGCCCAGCCTGGCAGCCTAGGCCCAGTGCCATTTCCCTCCTGGCTGGTATGGGCTGAGCCTTGTCTGGGTTCCTTGCAGATGAAGAAATTGAGATGACACGAATGGCTGTCCAATTTGAGCTGGAGGACCTTGACATGCGGCCTGACCCAGAACCGCTTCTCACAGAGATGATTCATGAGGTACTAGAAAGCCCGCAAGCACCCGCCTCCGCCTCCGCGGCCCTCCCAACAGCAGCATAGTTGAGAGGGCCCATCTCCCTTCCTGAGACCATTCACAGGTTATAGGTGTGGACGGAAGATTCTTAATTCTCAAACCTGCAACTTATGCAAGTTTTTCACGTTCTCATTCTTATAGTAATAAGGTCTTGATCCATTTCCAGAATGATTTTTTTATTTTAAGTGGGGTTTTTTTGAGACTTCGTTCTGGAGAGAGAGATTTTACTGCTTTTGTAAGCAAACGAAACTGCTTTTGCCAAATTAGCAAAGCTAAGCAACCGTGGGCTTTTCCTGCCACAGCTGGGGTCATGGCAGGCCCAGCTCCGCAGGGGGGAGACCTGGCCGTGGCCTCTCTGCCACCTGTGTTTCTCCTTTCTTTTGTTAGGCTGCTTATCGGGAAAACACAGTTGGCCTCCACCGTTTCTGCCCCACAGAAAACATAGCAAAGATCGATCGAGAAGTGCTTCATTCGTACCTGAGAAACTACTACACCCCTGACCGCATGGTGCTGGCTGGAGTCGGGGTGGAGCATGAGCACCTGGTGGAATGTGCCAGAAAGTACCTCCTGGGAACCCGACCGACCTGGGGATGTGAGAGGGCTGTGGACGTCGACAGATCGGTAGCACAGTACACTGGGGGGGTTGTCAAGGTAAAGCCGAGATCGGGTATATGTACTTTCTTTACTTTGTTTTTGGTACGTTCTTAGCTTTATCGCACAGGTGTTAGAATGAGCTGTGTATTCTTGGCTTTGCCATAATACACGTTGTGGTATCAGGGCAGGACGTGTTCCTTGTTTAAAACTGAGAGCTTGTTAAGAATGCATTTAGGGGCGCCTGGGTGGCTCCATGGTTAAGCATCTGCCTTCAGCTCAGGTCATGATCTCAGGGTCCTGGGGTTGAGCCCTGCATCGGGCTCCCTGCTCAGCGGGGAGCCTGCTTCTCTCTCTCCCTCTGTGCTCTCTTTCTCTCCCTCTCTCCTCTTCAAGTAAATGAGTAAAATGTTAGAAAAAAAAAAAGAATGAGTTTAGCTTCACTGGAAGGTTAAAGGATCGTTCTTTCTTCTAGAGGGAGTTTACTGATGTTCGTATATGATTTCTATAGAACCGTGGTGGGGTCTTTTGCCTTTTTTTTTTCCCTCAAAGTAGGCTCCACACCCAGCACGGAGCCCAATATGGGGCTTGAACACACAACCCTGAGATCAAAAGTTGGACACTCAACTGACTAAGCCACCTAGGTGCCCCAGTAGAACTGTTTTTAGGCTGATCTGGCCTGAGAGGTTTTTCAGGCCTGCTTGTTTTCTGTGTGGGTACACTGTTCACTCTCTTTGCTTATAGCTGGAAAGAGACATGTCCAATGTCAGCCTGGGCCCTGCCCCGTTCCCCGAGCTCACGCACATCATGATAGGACTGGAGAGCTGTTCCTTCTTGGTAAGTCCCAGCCGGGTCCTACCACATTCTAGAGCCAAATGTCACCTCCCGGCAAACCTCTGCCCTCATGTCTCCCGCAGGAGGAAGATTTCATCCCCTTTGCCGTCCTGAACATGATGATGGGGGGCGGCGGCTCCTTCTCAGCTGGTGGGCCCGGCAAAGGCATGTTTACCAGGCTCTACCTTAATGTGCTCAACAGGTAGGTTGGATTCTTTTCACCTGGCTGTCCCCAGGGTCACCAGGCCCAGCCGAAGGTGCTTTTGGACTGTGACACCACCTTCCAGGTGTCCCTTTGTCCCTGCTCCCTACAGGCACCACTGGATGTACAACGCAACCTCGTACCACCACAGCTATGAGGACACGGGCCTCCTGTGTGTGCACGCCAGCGCCGACCCCAGACAGGTGAGGGCCAGCCCCGAAGCGGGCGGCCTCTGCTTCCTGTGCAGCTCGTGTCTCAGGATACAGAGCTGGTTTCTCGGAGCAGGGGTGTCATTGAATTGGAAGAGACAGACTGTTAGGTCCAGATCACACTCTTCATCTGTATCTTCTTCCCTAAAGGTTCGAGAAATGGTGGAAATCCTCACAAAGGAATTTATTTTAATGGCTGGAACTGTGGATGTGGTAAGTATAGCACAGAAACGACACAGAGCCGACTCCAGACATCCCCACGGTGTCGGCAGGTTAGAGAACACGGTGTGGGGGTGGCTGGCCTCTGTGCTCCCAGCACCGCCAACATCCCAGCCAGAACAGTGCAGCCCGGGGGTGAGCCAGGCCTACAGCTGAGCTCCTCCCCTGCTCCCTGGTCTCAGCACCGAGAACAGTCGTTGCCCTGCCAGCACTGGGCCTGCTCACACCTGCCTGGCCCTGGCCCTCCTGGAAGAAATGGTGCAGAGCGGTCTCGTGTGTCCTTTTCAACCACCCTGCAGAACCATGGGAACTAAAGCCACATCACACAGGATGAGCAGGCCTCTCGGGGTGGTTCTCGAGCTCTCTCCTAACTTCCATTTTATGTTTTGTTTTGCTTTTTTGGTTTTGTTCTGTTTTTAAAGATTTTAGGTTTAAGGTAATCTTTATCCGTAGCATGGGGCTGGAACTCACAACCCCAAGACCAAGAGCCACGTGCTCTGTGGACTGAGCCTGCCTGGCACCCTGAACTCCATTTTGTGTTTTAACCTGAGTCTTTGTTTCCTCGTTTGTTTGGCTTAGTTTTTGTCAGCTTACGTATTTAGAGATCTTGTTTCTTCGTGGACCAGCCCTGGTACAAATAAGCAGATTCCATATGCACGCGCATAGAAGGCCTGGAGGAGAGCCCCAGCGTGTGGGCTGAGTGCCTCTGAGGGTTGGCGCACGGCCTTCACCTATAGATCTTTCCTGCTCAGTCCCTACTTTTTGCAATAATCACATGCTCCCTTTTTAGTCAGAAAAAGTTTTAAAAAAAAAGTATTTCAAAAAAGTAATTTTACAAAAATGTATTTAAAAATCAGTTGGGGGGGCTCCATTAGTGGCCTGCTAGGGAAGTACTTCCCGTTAACGTGAAGCTAATTTGAGGTAAGTTGTAAGTATTTGCCCGGAGTTGGCAAAGTAGAAAGGACTCGTCTGCAATTAGGAGTCTTCTTGCTTAGACGGTGACACGGAATCTCCGCAGCTGGTCTGTCTTGCAGCACGTGTGTGCTGCTCTCGCCGGCCACTCCGGTCCCTCATCCAGCCATGTTTCCGTGCCCTCCGGTTTCACGCTGAGCTTTGTGGATGAAACTTGCCGAAGTCCCAACATCGTCAGTTTCACCCCTGGTCAGAGAGGCTCGAGGCCCAGACTTGGTAGATCGAGCTGGTCCCCTCAGAGTTTCCCCGGGGGCACAGGGAGCAGGGTTGCCTGGGCCCTGTGCCTGGGTTCAGCGTGGAGCCCCTGACTCTTGGATTTGTCTTCCTTGTGACGTGGCCTTGACAGGGCGACGGTGTGTGAGCTGTTGTGAACTGAACCGTGTGACTTGGTGGTTGAATCCCAGGTGGAGCTGGAGCGGGCCAAGACGCAGCTGATGTCCATGCTCATGATGAACCTGGAGTCCAGGCCTGTGATCTTTGAGGACGTAGGGAGACAGGTGCTGGCGACCCGTTCCAGGAAGCTGCCCCACGAGCTGTGCGCGCTCATCCGTGAGTACCATGCTGGGGGCCCAGATCGGGCTCCCTCCTTTCCCTCCCAGGAGACTGCCACAGACCTGTTTCCTCGTGGCTCCTGGACCCGTGAGCCCTCACCCTGGACCAGCCCTGCCTCGGGTCCCTGAGTACCGACCCCTGTGACCCCAGCTTTTCACCCCCTATAAAGGGGCCTTTCACCACTGCTCCGGGTTTCTAAGCCGACTTGGTGAGCTAATGGACGGAAACGCTCCACACGGGGCTCGTGTGGTGGCGCCCTCTGTGACTTGAGCCCAGGTTTCCATGGCCTCCTGTGGGTGAATTGCAGGAGGTCCTTGAATTTCCCTGTGTGTCCTGCTTTGGGGGACGAGTCTATGCTTCCATCAGCTCCTGAAAGGGTCCGTGACCCCACAAGGGTTAGGCCGGTGGTTCTTTGGTGACGATTGTTACCTCGTGGCGGCTCCAGCATGCATCCCGTCCGCGGGTGCATCCTCACCCCCCCCGCCCCGGGGAGCCCCTCAGACCATGGAGCACAACAGTACCCGATCTCCCTAAGGCCTCGTCTTCTGTAGGAAAACCAAGCTACTGGTCAGTGTGTTCCCACAGTGCGCTTTTCGTGCCCACACAAGCTGTGGACCCAGGTCCCTCTTGGGGAGGCCAGGCTGCGCAAGCGGCTGCCTCCCTACGAAGCCCCGCAGCCCCTCCATGTGGGTAGCTCTGCAGACAAGGAGCTGTTCCATTATAGATGTGTCAACTTCTCTGGGCAGGCACATGTCTACATTTGAAAATTCTTTTAAACCACTGGTACTTCTCCGTTTACCAAGAAAAACCCGATACTTCACCCTGACTCACAGTATAGTCCCCACAACTGAATCTGGACCCTCTGGAGTCTGCAGCCCGGCCTCAGACCCCCAGGGCCTTGAGGGGCCGCAGCCACACCCGGAGACGGAGTCCGTGCAGGAGGCGGGCAATCCCCTGAGGTATTTTTGTCCCCCGTGCCAGGCAGCGTGAAGCCGGAAGACATCCGGAGAGTTGCCTCTCAGATGCTTCGCAGGAAGCCCGCAGTGGCGGCCCTGGGCGATCTGAGCGACCTGCCGGCCTACGAGCACATCCAGGCGGCGCTGTCCAGCAGAGACGGGCGCCTGCCCAGGATCTACCGGCTCTTCCGCTAGAGGCCGCCCGACTGCGGCTGCGGGAGTCGCGTGTGATTGTACGTGTCTCTGGGTGTGAGTTTAGTGCAAAGACTCATAAACGGTGCAAACCATGGGACTCTTGAACAAATTTAATGTCGCCGAGCACAGCTCAGTTTCTGGTTCTTTGCTGTTGAATAAGCCACTCGGTGGAATAAAGGTTTGCCCTCACTGTGGCTAGAAACCAGCGAAGTGCAAGAAGGTTCAAGGCAGACTGCTGTTGGGGAGCAGGTCAGCGTTGTTCCTGTCGTCCTGCGCCCCTGGAGATCAGCAGTGCCGCACTGTCTCCCCACAGTCAGCCCCCGGGGCACGGCAGGAGCCCCTGGTCTGCTTCATGGAGCGTTTTTCTCAGCACGGTTTTCCTTCACCCTCAGCAGCATCCCTGAAACAGGGCTGGAAGTGGGCAAGCGGGGTGTCTCCCTGAGGGTCGTCCAGTTGGACCCAACACTGCGAGGCCTCTTGTCCTTTAATTGTTCTGATTGCGGGCATGTCTGAGCACACAGGACGGGAGGCGGGGTTCTCAGACTCGGTGGCCGGTCCGGAGAGCAAAGCCGGGAGCGTGCTGGAGGGGAAGGCGCTGTGAGGAGTGCCGCAGGGCCCGGTGAGTCTAGCAACGTGGGCTAGCTTTGTTAGCTTTGTGGTTCTCCAACGTGAATGCGTGTAGAGTCCCCAGGAGCCCACGTGGGCCACCTCTTGTAGCTGCAGGGCCGCTGCTGTCCCCAGCCCTTGGCAGCCTCGGCATCCTCGGCCGCGCAGGCAGGAGGGCAGGGCTATTCCGAGGAGATCGACTCGTGAATGTTACTTCAGTTATTTAATCCACTTATTCTGCCGGGGCCCATCATCCTGTTTAGGTGCCTTTCTAGCACACGTGCCAACGACTACATTTGCGGAGGGGGGCGCACAGCGGGGATGCCAGGCCCTCCATGCCCGCTGGGGTGGGGCCCAAGGGAGATGAGCCTGAGTTGGAGGGCAGGTGGGCAGCAGTATGGACTATCTTGTCGTTTCTGTGGTTACCCCAGGGGGAGGGCAGCACCCAAGGGAGGTAGAGGGCAGGAGCTTGGCCGCACTGCAGGCATTCAGGGGGGTGGGGGGTGTGGGGTGGGGGGCAGAGCTCGGGAAGACATAAGGCCCGGGTGGATGTTCGTCAGAGTGTTTTTCTGACCAGAAAAGCTGAAGCGTTGCCCAGACCCAGGGTCTGGAAGCTGGTGCTAACCTGCCTGTCCTGCTTCCCCACTGGCTTCTCCCCGGACCCTGTCATGGCCTGGCCCCTCTGCTCCCCTCGGCATGCAGCCACGCCCCCTCCCCATTCTGGGCCCCACGTGGCCCTCAGGGCTGGCTGCCGCAGGCTCAGCAGGTGCCCAAGGGAGGCCTGGCGTGAGCAGAGTGCGTGGAGGCGATGAGAGCCGGGTCTTGAAAACCACCCTCATGCTTGTGCTTCTCGATCTCGGTGAAGCTGGTTTTCAGACTGGCCCATATCTGCATTCATCTGAATTTTAACTTTTCTAAGCAAAACCTGTTCATCTCAAATCTCCCGGCTGCTCTTAAGGGAGTATCCTGACTTGGGACCCGTGACCCCTCAGGTGTGTGTCACGATCCCCACAGACACGAAGCCCCGTCTCAAGCCAGACTCCTCCATGCTGCACCATCGCTTTGTCCTGTTGGTCAGAGATGGTGCCTGGGAAGATGCATAAAAATGCCTCCTCTCCAGGCCCCCTCACTGCAAAAGTCTGTAACAGACGTTTTCAATTCATGATTCAAAACTCAACGGCACATTTCTTTTGAGTAAAATTTTATACAATCTCGTTTCTTGAAGTCCGATGGGGTTGACTGGACCTTCTCATGAACAGACTCTCCCCTCTGTGTCAGAGACCGGGTGTGCCTGGCTCCGTGTTGTGGAAGTTGGCACTAATAAAGGGGGTACACATGCCCTGTGGAAGTGACTTCATTTCCTCCACTCAGGTCTGGGGTGTCCCCTTCTCCCTTAAAAGCCCCCCTCCAGCCAGCCCCATGGTTGGGGTGGCAGCTGGGTGCAGAGCAGGTGGCCCCGGGGAGCCACGGTGTACCCCGAACTTCCTGCCATTGAACTGGACACCCTTGTTTTCTGAGAACATCAGGAGAATGGGCTGAGTGTACAGATGATCTCTTTCTAGGACTCAATCTTTGGCCAGAAAGAGCTTAAGATTTAATATATGGATTTATTTAAAAATATAAATATGGAAAAATAAATAATTTGAAAGACTAGATTGAGTGCCCCTTGGTTTTCCCACATTCAGAGCCTGTCTTTAGAAGCCATCGTGGGCGATCACGCGCTCAGCCCTCGAAGAAAGAAGAGATCCGGAATGTGGTGGGGACACCCTAAGCTTCCCCTGCTTTCTCAGGCCAGGAAGTGCGCTACTTATGTTCATGCTGTTTGAGGCTGGCCATGTGTATGCAAACAGTCTTAAATCACCAAAACCAGAAGAGGACAGGGAGGTGGCTTCATGGCTGGATGGGCCGGGCCAGCCCCCCAAGATCAGAGGTGGCCCTGAAAACAGGCCAGGCCTCCTTGTCCCAGCGGGACTGTGTTCCCTCCTTGGAAGTCGGCTGGCTCTGGCCTGACCAGCCGGGCCTGGGCTTGGTCCTCATGTGCACCGGTGGGACAGAGACCACCCCCCCACCACCCAGCCGCCTGACCCTGAGCAGCTTACGTCTTTGGTACCGGGCCCGCTGTGCTCAGAGGGGGAAGGGCACCTCCCAGTTTGCACTGGAGGGGTTGCTGGGGGGCTGCCAGCCCCGGCTCTGGGTGAGCGGGCGGCTCCAGGCCCCGCCCCACCCAGACGCCTGCCCCCCGGGACCGCGCGTGTGGCCGGCGTGGGGCCTGCCGGGACGTGCTGTAAATGAGCGTGGCTGGTGTCGTTCCGGGCGGGGTCACTGGCGCCTCGGTATCACTTGGCCGGTCTGCTGGCCTCCCCATGGGGTTCTGGGTCAGAAAGCGTGTCAGTCTCGAGCAGTGGTTTGTTGGCAGCCCAAAAAGGGGGAGAAGTCCCACACAGCAACCTCTTCCGTCTTTAGGGGCTTTTGATCAAGTAACCTCCCGGTGGAGGTGCCAGAGGTCCTCGGGCAGACCTCAAGAAACAGTACAAATAGTACTCGAGTGCTGATTCTTCAGTGCCTGCTGTCTCTGAATTTCTTTGGAAATCCGTCTTTTAATTCCTATTAAGTACAGTTCTCGGTCAAACTTGCCGGCAGCTAGCGGGATGCTGTGGAGGAAACGGTGTCAGCCAGGGGGGCCGGCTGTTTCCGCAGCCTCCAGGAGGCCAACTCTGCTGCCCAGTCCCTGAGGGCCGCTGGGACCCGCCGCATACCGAGCGTGACCACTGCCGCCCGCGAGCAGAAACCCCTCCAGAGCCCGGGCCAGGCCTGGCCGCATGCGTGTCACAAAGAGCCAGCCAGCCCTGACCCTCACTTCAGAGCAGGAATCCCGCCCCCCGGCCCCCGGGGCCCCGAGGGCGGGACACGTGAGGACATGTGGCCAGGGTACTGACTTGTCTCTCCCCGGCCTCACTTTCACCCGGAACAGGCCGTACACGGGGCGATGGTCAGACGTCTTGATGCCAGGGCAGGAGGAATACTTGATGGGACAGATGTCACCCTTGTGGCGGCTTCTGTACATGACCCGGTCCTGCAGAAAAGAGCCCACAGACAGGGGCCCGGATGCTGCACAGTTTCGCTGCAGGGCTCGGCCTGCGTGCCTGTCACCTCGGCTGTGCTCGAGCAGAGTCCTTGCGTCAGATCCCCCGCCCCCCCAGAGCCTCTTCCCGGAGCCCCTCCCCCGAGCCCAGTGCGGACTTGTGTCCGAGCACCCAGTGTGGAGGGGGTGGAGCCAGGGGCTCAACCAAGTGACAGCGCGGGGCGTGTGCCTCGCTGTCCCGGGACCAGCAGACGACCCTCAGAAGGGCCTTTGTCGGGGGGCACCGCCCCCAAGCCCAGCAGTCTCGGAGAGGTGCGGTCACTAGCCCGGAGCGGCTCAGGCCCGAGTCTGACCGCACCCCACAGGCCCCGCGGCCCGCGGCTGCTGCCCTCACGGCCAACCTCAGTCCTCAGCCCACGGTTCGGAAGCGCGAGCGGACCCAGACCTCGGCCGCAGAGCCGGGCCGGCGCCAGGGGCGTGCTCACCGTGTAAGAGGGGGTCCTCTGCTTGGAGGTGGTGTCGTAGGAGTCCTTCCCAATGTCGAACTTGTATGATGGAAGGAAGTGGATGTCCGGCTCCTGGAAACCCCTGAAGACGGACCCTGGAACAGTCACAGCCCCACGTCAACCCCGCAGGCTGCGCCTTCTCGGGGGTGGGGAGGCCACACCTCCTCCCTGAGACCTCACCTTTCTTCATCTCCTGGGTGAGCTGGTCATGCTGGAGCAGGACAGACACCTTCTCTCCCAGGTCCTGCTTCAGGATGGCCTCCACAGCCACGCGCCCACCGCTCAGACGGAAGTTGAAGTCTCCAAACCAGAACACCCCATCGAACCGGGTGGTGACATCCGCTGGCCAAAATGGGAAAGCGTGTGAGCCCGGCCCTCCGTGCTCACCATGCCTTAGCGACAGGGACTGGTCTGTGTCTGGCCAGAGCCACAGGCAAGGACTCCTCAGGGAAGAGGGCGCAGCCCGTGGTGGGGGGTGTGCTCTGCAGCCTCCTGGGTCGACAGTCGGGGTCACGATTCTCTCTCAAACAGCAACAGACATCCGGGGACGCGTGGCGCCCTCACGCTCACAGGAGCCCACACTTGCCACGCACGCTGCCTCCGCCAGGGCGCTGTCCTGCGGGGCAGCCAGGGGGCAGGGGGGGTTTGGAGGGGGGGGCGGGGGGGAGGATGCAGAGCCGGGCTGGTGAGGCCGGGCTCCTCGTGAAAGCAGCCGCCAAATGCGCTGACAGGGTCACAGCTCGTGAGGAGCCCAGCGCCAGGCCTCAGCGGTTTTATTTCCATTGGCTGGTGACTTTCTAGACTTTTCTAACCTGGATTCTCAAAAGCTCTCAAAGTTTACTTTCACTAAAGTACCCAGAGAAGAAGGCGGCAGCGCGCGGACGGGGGCTCACCAGCGTCGGAGCGGAAGGGGCTGGTGTCCGGCACGCTCCTGGGCAGGGCCAGGCCCTGGACGGTTCTGCTATAGTCCAGCAGCCTCTCGCTCACCTTCCCGTCCCCGGCTGTGAGAACAGAGCGTGGGGGGGCCCTCTCCAGCGAGGCTTGTGGACACGGGACACCTGGCGCTCACCGCCCCCCAGCCTGCTCCACCCCAGCGTCTGCGGCGGCCCGCCCCACCGGGTACTCTCGCCCTGAGCCCCACGGCCTCCGCCACACCAGCCCCCTCAGCGCCCAGACCGGAGCCGAGCGCTACCGGAGGACACCGTCACGGGGGGGCGGGGCCTCTGCCTTCCAGACTCTCCAGGCGGACATCGGGGGCGCGGTGTCCCTAGCGCCTGGACTTACAGGTGAAGTGGGACGTGATGAAGAGGAAGGAGGTGCCGAAGAAGGTGAAGCTGACGCCCAGGGCCCCCTTGGTCTTGATGTGAGATACGATGCGCGTGGTCACCGTGGAGCTCTCCACCTCTGCGGCATGGAGGGGCGAGGCTGACACGGCCGCCCCTGCCCGCCCCGCGCGCACCCGCTGGGTGGGGGTGCCCAGGGCGCCGGCGCAGAGCAGACTGGCCTGCCTACCTGAGCAGAACCAGATGAGGTCCCTGCGGATGAGCACGGACATGTAGAGCGCCCCGTGGGCCGCGGAGTACAGTGTGACGTAGCGGGGGCCCAGCGTCTCCTGCAGGCGCGTCTCCCACTCCCGCCTGCACAGGGAAGCCAGGACAGCCTGGGAAGGGGGCTGGAGCCTCCCAGACCCGCCACCCCTCACCCCGCAGCCCAGACAGCCGCGCCATCGGGCGTCGTCCCGCAGGGAGAGTGGCGGACCGACAGGCAACACGAGGGCCCCTGGGCGGGTTCCAGGCTGATGCTCTCCCGCTACCCTGGGGGCCGGGAGCCTGGCCCCTTCCCCTCCTGAGGGGTGGGATGCCCGAGTGCTGCCCTCACCCTGCAAACCCCAGGCATGCTGCCGGGGCGCTGCGGACCTAGGACCCCGCGGAGGGGTCGGCTTGAGCCAGGGCTCCCGCAGCTCTTCACTGCCATTCTTAGATCAGCGGTGAGTCAACAAGAAGTGAAGCTCGTTTGTTCTAAGTTCTCTGAGCGGCCCACAGACCAGGAAGCGGCTCTGGCGGGCAGCCCCGGCCTGCTGCGGCCTCGGCCTCGCCCCACACGGGGCTCTCGGGCCGCAGCAGCTCCAGCCCCGAAGGCCCACCTCAGCGCCGCTGCCAGGGACCGGGGGGCTGACGGGCTGGGCACACGTGGGGCAGGGGTGCACCCTACCTGTCGGAGCAGCCCTCCTGGACCCCGACGACGTACAGGTCCTGGGCGTAGTCGGCCTCGGCGGGCAGCAGGAGCTCGTCCAGGTTTGGGGGCAGCTCCTGCGAAGAACCGTGTGTAGCGAGAGGCTCCCGCAGGACCAACAGCCCCGGCCTCTCCTGCAGCACGGGGACCAGCGCTGCCCGTGGGACGCGTCCAGGGGAGCCTCAGGTCTGGGCAGGCCGCCCTCCACCCCAGTTGGTCACCGCCACGCCCGCGTCTGTGCGGCGCCCTCGCCACGCGGCCCGTGCCCCCAGGTACACTCCGGGTGGGGGGGTGCTGCCCAGGCCGGGCGCCCCAGTCCCGCGGGCGAGCCTTCCTCCACCCTGTGGCTGCATGTCGTGGCCTCCAAGCCCTCAGGGCCCTGGACGAGAGCGCCGTCCCATGGACAGGCACGGTGGCGTCCCAGGGACCGTGGTGCCGCCGGCCTGGGCACCTGCCTCCTTCAGCCCAAGGGAGAATCACTTCTGTCTCCTTCCGGGGGCTCTGTCGTCAGGGCCCCTGGTTCCTCAGCCAAACTCTGTGCCGGTGGCGGCCCCGCCTTGTTTCCCCCGCAGCACCTGTCGCCCCGTGCCAGCCTGGGGCACCACCGTACGGAGGGACGTGCCTTCTGTGATGTCACCACGACAACCAGGGGCGTGCTAGGCAGTCCACGCCCGGCCCCCAGAAGTCAGAGCACATGCGGGGGACGGAGACCGCCAACCCGGGGACAGTCCTTGCCGCGAGGAGGGAGGCCCAGGGGAGACGGCTGAGCTGGAGACAAAGCCACCCACACAGCGTCCAGGGGGCCCCAGAAGCACAGGCCAGAGATGAGCGCGCAGACCTCTGGCCTGTGCGCGGTCAGGACACAAAGCACCGTCTCGGCAGAGCGGCTGGAGGCCTCCGCTGTCACCTCCTCACAGAAGCTGCCGAGTGAACGTAACCCAGGGTGACCCCAAGGTGACAAGGACCAGACCAGGCCGTGCAGGCTCACGGACGGTCATGGCCGGCCCAGCGGTGGGGTGTGGACAGGGGGAGGTTGTGCATGGGGGCGGGGGCTCTAGGGAAATCTCTGTTCCCTTCAAATCTGCCCTGAGCCTAAAGCTATCCTAAAAACAAACACGCACGTGTAAGAAAACCACGTGTTCTGCCCCCAGGCAGTGGGGAGGTGGGTGAGGCAGGGGCTTTCTGGGTGACCCAGGTGTTGGGGAGAGGCCAGGCAGACGGTGTGCGGCGCGGAGGCCCCGGGAGAGAACCCGAGTGGGAGTGGGCGGCTTACCTTCTGGCCTTGCATGTTCCAGGTGGCCACGAAGAGGGCCATGTTGCGGTCTGGGAAGTACCGGGCCAGCTCCTCTGCCCCCATCAGGGCCCCGCTCGCCAGGAGACTCCCCTCCAGGTAGCTCCTGTGGAGAGAGGGCAGCCAGAAGTCGAGGGTCTGAACGGGCAGACCCGGGGGTGGGCCAGGTGCAGGGACACGCCTGCCGGGCATACCTGTGGCCTCAGGCCCCCACAGTTGTGTGGAACCCCAGTTTTCGGGAGGCTCTCCCAGAGCTGGGGCTTCCTGAGCGCCCATGGGTTGGCAGGAGGCACAGCACGATGGTCCACTGCCCTCTTGGAAAACCCACTGGGTTCACAATTCTACAAACACCAGCATACATTCAACTTTTCGGTCACCTACTGAGACCAAGGACTTGAAGGTGACATCTGGGCTCTTGGCCCTGGACAGCAGCAGCCTGGGGTGACGCGCACCCTGGGCCAGGGGCTTGCCTCCACCTCAGCATGGCCTCGGGGGCCCTGAAAGCTACAGGGGGCACGTCCACCCTCACGACAACCGCCGGTCACAACCCGTTTCAAGAGTTCCGGAGCACAGCGTGCACACGGTTACAGCCCCGCCCCGCCGCCCGGCCCCGTCGGCGAGCCCGTGCGGCCACTGAGCTTCATCTGGGGACTGCGGAGTCCGAGTGTCCTGTAATTTTCACGTATCATGAAACAGTAGCACCGTCTTCTCAACCACGGGAAAACCGTCCTCAGACGACGGACCGAACAAAATCAGCCTAAGACTGCGTTTGTGCCCTTGTCCAGCCGGTGGCCTCGAGGCTGCTCTCTGCTGCACAGGTGGACGAGCCCAGCACGTGCACACAGGCCCGGTCACCCATGTTAGGGCAGGACACCAGCCTCCCTGTGTCATCTCTCCTCTTGCACGGTGTCCACCTGTGGCCGCCTCAGTCTTTCTCCAATTGTCTGTGGTCCTCCTTTTGCTGGGAGCTCTCCTTCCAGAACTTCTTCCAACCCAGTTTGAGATCAGTCAGGATGCTCCTGGAATCAGTACCCAGGCAATGGCCATTCCTGTGTTTGGTCATTTTGTCTCCTAGGTCTTTTAGTCCCATCCATCTGCTGCAGACA